CTCACCGTTCGCGATGCTCCATTCTAGGGCGGCGTTATGGAGAGCGTTGGCTGCCCTGTCCGAATGCCCCCCCCCCCCTCCTGAAAATCGAGGGCGAGGGTGGAGCGAAGGGCACCAGTCGCGGATTAGCGCGGCGGCCTCGTCTCTCGCTGCCTATGGGAGAGGGAAGGCCGAGAGCGGCGGCAGGCGGCCTCTTGTCTGCGAGTGGGGTGGGGGTGGGGGTGGGACTCCCAAGGGCTGCCGCCGCCCCCACAAGGCAGGAGTGCAGGTCGCCCCCTCGCCAGTCGCCGGAAACAGACACATACAGCTAAACTAAAGGTCACCGTAAAAGCAAAGCTCTCTTCTGCTCCGCCGCAAAGCTCCAAACAGCTCGTGCAGAGGGGCAGGTGCACTGGTTTAGTTGGCATTGATCACTGTGATTGTTAAAAAAGAGGCGTTGGTGATATTGATAAAAAAAAAGAAAAAAAAAAAAAAACTTTCAGAGAGCTAATGTTTTCCAATCATCATTGTACGGGGGGGGGGAGGGGGGGACTTCCATTCCCACGTCAAGTTCCCATTGATGATTAGGAAAATTAATTGCAAGAGTGCATCAGTTACAGAGGCAGTTTTTTTTCCATTTGTTATTATTTGTTTGCCGCGGGGATTTGAACAAATTGGCGGTTTTAGTCAATTAAATGTAATTGGTTAAATGCAATTTTCAACTCGCTCTTTGCTGCCGACGGAACCGGATCGCTAGTCATCTGTTTAATTACGAGCGTCATCGAGCATTTAGATGTAACCGGGACATTTGTTTTGACGGCGCCCTAATTGGTGTCTTGCGTCGGGCGGGCGCGGGCGCGGCGTAATTGCCTCGGTTGACAAATTCGCCCGCTGTCATTGCAGATAATTGCTTATAGTCTGGGAGGTAATTTGTTCGTGTGTTCCGTAGTAATAGCTACAAAGTCATTAAACTTTTTCGCCGCGCGTGATTATTAGGCTTTGAAAATTAAGATCACGTAAATTGCACATTTGCCAAACATGTGTCGAATTGACACTTTTGTTCTGCCTCGCACGGAGGAGAACGAGCAGAGGGGCCGTTGCGGTCCGAGCGGCGAGGGAGGCGAGGGAGTGGGAGAGGCGAGCTGGTGAGGGAGGCGAGAGAGCGGGAGAGGTGAGCGGGTGAGGGAGGCGAGCGGGAGAGGCGAGCGAGGCGAGGGAGAAGGGAACGAGGACGAGAGAGTGCCAAGCGTGACAGGGCGCGCGCCGTGGAGAGCGGGGCGGCGCGAAGAGCAGGGCATTGTGGCGACTGATAAGCAAGGCCGGGAGGGGCTCGAGCGCGGGGCGGGGCAGATGAAACGAGTCAAAAGACGTTATTACGGTCTCCCTTTTGAAGTTTCCAGTGGCCACTCGAGTGTCTCTTGACCTTTTTAGGAGCTGCTCGGTATGTATACACGACGAGACCCTTTTAGCCGGGGCCTCGGAGCCGGGGAGGCGGGCTGGGGGGGGGGGGGGAGAGGGAGAGGGAGAGGGGGAGGGGGAGGGGGAGGGAGAGGGGGAGATAAAAACAAGGGAGGGGAGCGAGGGTGAGGGAGAGAGGAGAGGGGAGTGAGAGAGAGACGAGGGAGAGTGAGGGAGAGAGAGAGGAGATGGTAAGGGAGAGAGAGAGAGGGAAAAGGGTGAGTGAGGGGGAGAGGGAGGAGAGGGGGAGGGAGGGGGAGAGAGAGAGAGAGGAGAGGGTGAGTGAGAGAAAGAGAAAGAAAGAGTGAGAGAAAGAGAGAGAGATAGAGATAGAGATAGAGATAGAGAGAGAGAGAGAGAGAGAGAGAGAGAGAGAGAGAGAGAGAGAGCAAGAAAGCCAGGGAGAAGGGTGAACGAGAACAATCTCCGGACCAAAAAATGGAGGGGGGGGAGGGGGGTTGCAGGTGGACGGAAACCCGCACTGAACGTGTTTTCCCCGAATGATGTTTAGGGAGCTAATCGCCTTCGGAGGGAAGCCCTTGGGTGGGCGCCTCTCCCTCGCCGCGCCCTGTGGCTTCCCTTCGCGTGCGGTGACAAGCCAGAGCTGAGGCTAATACGCGCGGCGGCGGCTCTGCGTCTGTGGCTGTGAGTCCACCTTATTTGTCTCGGGCGATCGCGGGGGACGGGGCTTTGTTTGTTTCCACGATGCGATGAAGCTTTTCAAAGGATGCGAGGCGATGGGCTTGCTTTCTTTAGCGTTAAGCTTTTTATTTTATTTTATTTTATTTTTTTTTATGTTGTGTGATGTTCTGGTATTGATGTTTTTTTTTTCTTTAGCATTAAGCTTTTTTTATGATGTGATGTTCTGGTATTAATGTGTTTCATTTGTTTTCTCTCTTTCGTATTAAGCATTAATTTTTTTATGTTGTGATGTTCTGGTATTGATGTGTTTCTTTTTTCTTTCTTTAGCATTAAGCTTTTAATTTTTTTATGATGTGATGTTCTGGCACTAACGAATTTCTCTCTTCTCTTGCAGTGTGATAGCGAGAGTGAAGGAGACAAGGTAAGGCCCCCTCCCTTCGCAGCCGTGAGCCCGTTAGCATGGTGTTCCTGGCTCCTGAGTCGCCAGGCCCTAGCTGAGCGGGAACACTATGCTGTTAGTGGTATTAGATTTAATATATTATTCCTGCTTGTGAATTTTCGGCCTAATAATAAGATGCAAGTATTCATTAGCGGGGCAATCTTGTAATTATGCTTAATAACAGCGTTTGAGATTGTACACTATATTGGACGTAACAAACGAGACAATTAATAACTGGATGATTATGCGCGTAACGACCAATTAAGCTGTAATTGCAGCGGCGGACACGCAACCCCGAATTATCTTTTCCTCTTCTCGCACCAACGCAAACCCTCCCCCCACCCCCACCCCTTCCCTCGCACCTCCTCCCGCGACTCCGGATTTGCCCGCCTCCTCGTGGTCGGCCTCCTCAGGGTCCTCCTCCTCCTCCTCCTCCTCTTGGGCGTCATTTTCGCCTTCTTCTTCTTCTTCCTTTTCTTCTTTTTCTTCTTGTTTTCCTTCTTTTTCTTCATTTTCTTCATCACCTCCTCTTCCTCCTCCTCCTCCTCCTCTCTCCTCCTCCTCCTCCTCCTCCTCCCCCCTCTTCCTTCTCCTCCTCCTTCCTCCTCTTCCTTCTCCCTCTTCCTCCCCTTATCCTCACCCCATTTCCTCCTTCCCTCTTCCTTCTTCCCCTCCTCCCCTCTCCTCCTCCCTCCCCCTCCTTCTCCTCTTCCCCCCCCTCCCCCTCCTTCTCCTCTTCCCCCCCCCTCCCCCTCCTTCTCCTCTTCCCCCTCCTCCTCCCATTTCCTCCTCCTCCCTCGTCCTTCTCCTCCTCACTCCCTCTTCCTCCTCCTCCTCCCCCTCCTCCTCCTCCTCCTCCTCCTCCTCCTCCTCCTCCTCCTCCTCCTACTCTTCCCCTTCTTCCTTATCTTCCTTCACCTCTTCTTTTCTCCCTCATATTTCTCCCCAATTATCTCATTCCTTTACATCTTTTTCCCTGTACGTTTACGTTTATCTGTAAAAGTAGATGGATGGATAGAGAGATAGATCGATCGATATAGAGAGATAGACAGATAGATGGACAGATATATAGATATATATGATATAGATGGACAGATATATAGATAAAAAGATAGATAGATGGACAGATAGATAGATAGATGGACAGATAGATTGATAGATGGACAGATAGACAGATGGACAGATAGATAGATAGATGGACAGATAGACAGATAGATAGATAAAATTGTATGAATTGGTAAGCCACAGGATTTTTGAATGTATGACCAGACCGGGTTTAGAATGACCGCGTAAACACCGCGCCGTCCCGCTCGCAGCCTCGCCAATGCTAATGTTGGGTGTTTTAATTTTCCGTCGGCCGCGCGCCCTCCCCGGCAGATCGCGTGGAAGGACGAGGCATCACCGACCACAACAGTTGGCATGACCCGAGGCCGTGCGTGGCCACTGGCGCTCTCGGGGTCTCTTCCCGCTCGTAATGATATTTTTCTTCTTCTTCTTTTTCTTTTTCTTCTTCTTCTTCTTCTTCTTTTTCTTTTTCTTCTTCTTTTTCTTTTCTTTTCTTTTTCTTCTTCCGCTTCTTCTTCTTCTTCTTCTTCCACTTCTTCTTCTTCTTCTTCTTCTTTTCTTATTCTTCTTTTTTTCTTATTCCGCTTCTTCTTTTTCTTCTTCTTCTTGGTGCGGAGACCCTTAGGCTATAGACCTCTGCGGCAAAGTAGCGTATGGAGAGAGGGCTTGTTGTGGCCTCGGAGGGTCCGTGGTTTTCAGCATTCTCGTGCTCGTTCTTCTTCTTCTCCTCCTCCTCCGCTTCATCCTCCTGCTCGTCGTCGTCGTCCTTCAACCCTCCTCCCTCTCTCCCTCCCTCCCTCCTTCCTCTACCTATCTCTCTCCCTCCCTCCCTCCCTCCCTCCCTCCCTCCCTATCTCCCTCCCTCCCTCCCTATCTCCCTCCCTCCTTATCTCCCTCCCTCCCTCCCTCCCTCCTTCCCTCCCTCCTTCCCTCCCTCCTTCCCTCCTTTTTCATCACGAAGGTTCCTCGCCTTTCGCCCCGCAGTCCCTGTTCCAGCGTCGACGCCTCTCCTCCCGCCAGCATCCAGGTTCCCGCAGTGTCACATGATAATTGGCCTCCGACCGCTCCGCAGGGACACGGCAAACACACGAGGCTGGCGTATTTTCATTTTTACTTTGTTCTATCCCCCCGCCCGCCCCCGCCCCCCCCGCCCTCTTTCGCTGCGTCTCATGAATTTCGGTCATTTTCCGTGCGTCCCCCTCGCCCTAGTGTCCCCATGTGGCGTCCGGCCCTCCATTCCGCCCAACTTCATTTTTTATGAGGACGCACTTGGGCCATTTGTATGATAATGCGTGTGGGCTCCACGCTCGGCCTGGTGTTTACTGCTCGCGAGGGAAGGATGCCAGCCAGCGCCCGGCGGCTTTGTGTGGCAGGAGAGGGGCAGGAGAGGGGGAGGGGGTGGGAAGGGAAGGGGAGGGGGTGGGAAGGGGAGGGGGTGGGAAGGGAAGGGGAGGTGAGGGAACTGAAGGGAAGGGGAGGGAAGGGAAGGGAAGGGAAGGGGGATGGAGGGGGGGGACGGGGCTGCGGGTGCGTAGGCGGCGGACGCGTACGCAATACCTCTCTTCCTCCTCTTTCTCTTGCGTTTCCTTCCGTCCTGGATCCTTTTCTTCTCTTCTCTTTTTCTCTCACTCTTCTCCCTCTCTCCCTCTCCGTTTTCGTCTCTTTTTATCTACCTATCTATCTCCCTCCTCCCCCTCCCCCTCTCTCTCCCTCTCCCCTCCTCCTCTCTCTCCCTCTCCCTCTCCCCCTCTCCCTCTCCCTCTCCCTCTCCCTCTTCGCCTGCCTCAGTCGGTGGCGGAAGCAGAGGGTTATTTGAGGCGCGGGTTTAATCGCCGCCGGTTTTCGGTCGTTATTGATCCGCGGAGTGCGGGATAGTTACGAGAGCGCCGGAGGTCATTAGGAGCGAATGTATCTGGCACCGAGTCGATGGTGGCGCGCAATCTGCCACGGGTATTGGCTGCCACTTTATGGAAGGTCGTAAGGTATTGAAATTGCGCGGGGCCAGACAGACCCGAGAGCCGCGGCCGTGCGCTCGGGCTTGGCTCGGGGCCGGACGCTCCCTCCCCCCCCTCCCCTCCCCTCGGTGGGTTGGGAGGGACAGGGGGAAGGGAAGGGAAGGAAAAAATCGGTGAGGAAGTAAAGTAAAGGGAAGAGAAAGGAAAATCGGCGAAGAAAGAAAGGGAAGGGAAGAGAGAGGAAAGTCGGCGAAGAAAGAAAGGGAAGGGAAGAGAGAGGAAAGTCGGCGAAGAAAGAAAGGGAAGGGAAGAGAGAGAAAAGGGGAGTGGCGGAGGGGCAAGAGAGCGCAGAATGAGAGACGGGGGCAGGACATTGTTTGGGGGCCGCGAACAGGTCCCCAGCGGCAGATGGAGGATTTATAACGAGGCAGATAGTGGCAGGGAGATGGAACCACGCATTGGCAAGGAGTTCCCTTTCATTGAGGGCCGTTTATGCAAATCTCTCTCTCCTCGCCTTTTCTTTCACCTTTCGCGGTTACATTTGTTCTTCATTCCACTTCCCTTCCCTTCCATCTCTTCTCTTCTCTTCTCTTTCATCATTCCCTTCCATTCTTCCCTATTCCTGAATCCCTCCCTTTATCCTCGCTTCTCTACTCTAGTTTCATATCCTCCCTTCCCCTCCCTTCCCTATCTCCCTACCGTCTTTCCTTTCCTTCTAACCCTTCCTTCCATTCCTTCCCTTTCTCCCTTCCTCCCTTCCTCCCTTCCTCCCTTCCTCCCTTTCTCCCTTCCTCCCTTTCTCCTTTCCTCCCTTTCTCCCTTTCTCCTTTCCTCCCTTTCTCCCTTTTTCCCTTTCTCCCTTTTTCCCTTTTTCCCTTCCCCCTTCCCCCTTCCCCCTTCCTTTGTCCCTCCGTCACCAACCTCAACATTTATCCTTCGTTTTCCTTCCCTTCCGCCGGTGATCCAGTTGGCGGACGGCGACAGGCATGATTAAGGGATTGTATATTAAAACCTGGCCGAGTTCAGCCCCTCTCCCCCCTCTCCCCCTCTCCCTCATTCCCCCTCCTCCCTATTCCCCTGCCCCTTGCGTCCCCCACTCCTTTATCTCCCTCCCTCTCTCTGTCTCTCTCTCTCTCTCTCTCTGTCTCTCTCTCTCTCTCTCTCTCTCTCTCTCTCTCTCTCTCTCTCTCTCTCTCTCTCTCTCTCCCTCCCTCCCTCTCTCTCTCTCTCTCTCTCTCTCTCTCTCTCTCTCTCTCTCTCTCTCTCTCTCTCTCTCTCTCTCTCTCTCTCTCTCTCTCATTCCTCGACCCCCCCCTCCCCCGCCCCCTGCGTCCGTGACCTGGGATCCAAGGCGGTTGATTGGGTGTCTCGGCGAACGACCCTTTCCCCGAGAACGACCCTTCCTCACCCCCGAATGGAAGCTTAAAGATTATGAAATGCGACAGTCACTTCTGCGCGCGGCCGGAGCTTCGTGTTTTACAAAGTCCCTCTTGTAGCCGTAACGACGCGCTCTAAAGAATTGGCGAGGGCGGCGGGGGGGGGGGGGGGGGTTAGTGGGAGGGGTGGTGGTGGTAGGGATAATGGAGACCCGTGTATACTTTTATTAAAGCCTCATCCGCAGCAGGTCTCTCTAATTTCAGCGCGGGGGGAATTACAAACGCACGCGACAAGCAGCTGGGGTGTTTTTTTTGTTTTGTTTTTTTTGCAAGTTGCCGAGATGCGAAGGGACACATTTTTGCCCGGCGCCGTGTTGTTACAAGTCGTTAAGCCGGGCTCTGGGCGCGGGAGGTGTTTATCGGCATCTCTGCTATTCTAACTTTCTCTTGATTCTCCGATTCTGTGATTCTCTGATTCTCTCCCGCTTTCCTTCTCTGATTCTCTCTCTCTCTTCTCTCTCTCTCCTCTCTCTCTCTCCTCTCTCTCTCTCCTCTCTCTCTCTCCTCTCTCTCTCTCCTCTCTCTC